TGCCAGGGCCTGGGCTATGATGCTTACCAGCTCCTTGAGTACCCTGGGGTGTTGATTGTCAGGGCTGGCTGACTTGAAGGTATCCAGCTTCTCAAGGTGTTCCTTCACGAGGTCAGCATTAATGGAGGGCAGGGGATCTCCCTCACCCAGACCTCCCTGTCCCATAGTGGGCATGGGCGTCCCATGGGACTGATGAAAGACCAACTCAAAGTACCCATTTAATAGGTTGGCTTTTTCCTGGGCATCAGTTGTCCCATCTGGTTCAGCAGGGGTCCAATGTTGTCCTTGCTTTTCCTCCGGCTCCCCACATATCTGAAAAAGGACTTTTTATTGTCCTTGATGCTTGAAGCTAGTTGGAGTTCAGTTGTAGCCTTTGCTTTCCTGGTTTTCTCCCTGCAGGACCGGATGTTACTAAGTAAATCTGCAGTATGTCCACTAATCATCACTTTCATAAGAAAAGTACCATGAAAAGAAACCAAAAGAGATCAGCTGTGCACAGAGGAGTGACCCAGGAGTCTAGTCAATGCAACCTCTGTGACTGAAGTTTTATTTAGTTACCACTACTAGCCCCATCTTGAGTGTTGGCATGATTTTCTCATCTTCTCCCACTTCTCCCATAATATATTCCTATCATGTGGTGGGATAGTGGTAGTAGACAAACAGTACATCTTTGATGTGCTGGCCATGAAGCCCACGTGTACATACTTCAACAGTTATGGGTGCTCAGATCAGAGCTCAACAGGTTATACCTCTGGAAAGCTATCATACAAGTATTCAACACTGTATTCAAACTAACATATCAAGGGTAAGAAAGGGGACAGACCAACCACAGGGTTCTCACACAAACTCCATAACTTGCCAAGGATCTGCACAAGGGGTAGGACCAGGGCCTTCTATTCTATGGGCTCTCTGCCCATGTTCTTTGAAGACTGGCAGCATAGCTCTGAGGACACTAAACTTCCAGGGCCTCCTGGGGAAGCCTCCCTTTCCCTGTATGGTAATTGTTACCATATAGGGAATTCTGTGGTGCAAGTAAGAGAGTCCTAGGCTAGGCTACCTTTTTTGGGCAGTCACTAGGAGGACATGACTAAGGAAGTGATCAGCAACTTCTGTGTCCAATCCACTGATCTCCTAGTTCAAGCTTCTATCTCTCCCCCCTCCGCACAGGTCTGCATAAAGATGTCAGTATTGTCTAGAAGAAAAAGGTTAATGCCACAGAAGGGGCTGAGCATCTTTGCATGACAGGACAGGAGTCAACTTAGTCTCCTTCAGTTTCCCACAGACTTCCAGTAACCTGACTGCCCAGTCATTCATTCAACTCTCATTGTCTTTGCAGAGGTCCCAGTACATAAAGTTTCCAGTGTCACACTATTTCTGTGGTTCACTTGACCTTCTCTAAAAAAAGATCAATAAACATGGTGGCATGCACCTTCCTAAAAATAGTTGTTTCAGTCAAGTCCAGAATTTCCACATCAGCAGCAAACACAGCAGAGTACAAGAACCAGTGGGTCATCTAAAAAAGTGGGGCACCAGTGAAGAGAGGACCGGGAATAAGGGATATGTGTAGCAGTAATGCTAGCTAAAACCGTGCTATTTATGTTGCTAAATTCAAGCTCAATGACTAGTGCTCATACTGTACATTCCAGCTTCAGCTGCCATGTCACCATGATCTAGTTTGACCTAGATCTGGGAGCTGCTGGTCAGCAAAGTCACACCTTCCTAATTTAGGGGTTGTTGGTGATCTTTCTTTCTTTCAGCTTGTATGTTTTCCTAAAAGAATACTGTTTTTGAAGAATAAGGAAGGGAACAAGATTTTTACAGCCAGTACTAAAAAAAGACCTCATGTTTTGCATCATAATCCTACTACAGCAACTATCCTCTCTGCTTGATGCTTTATTACTCAGTAGTGGGTGCATCTACAAATGTGCTTTAGTGTGCATTAGCCTATTTT